AGCCACTGGCCGCTGCGCCGCTCTTGCAGGCGCCCGTTGGCTAAGCCACCTCGCCGTGCTGCAATGGTGGGAAGGGGGAGGAGCAGCTGCAAGGAGGGAGCTGCCAGGGACTGTTCTCTCCGTGATGAGCCCAACACAGACCTGTGCTGACAGCCCTGTGAAGACCCAAGCTATTTCTGAGGAGAACAGACTTGCCCCTGTGCCAAGGGGATGTAGCTGTGTGTCTTCCGTGCGTTAATGCTGTTTCTTTGTGTGCAGGTTTAAAGCCCCGGAGTGCTCACCAGGTGAGTTACAGCACCTTTCTGCATAGTGTCCATGGCTAAATGTATAAGGCCATGGCATCGTGCTCTCTGTGCTGTCTAAATTGCTGAAGTTCCCAGATGTACTTGAATAGCTCCCTATACTGGGCAAACAAGTGTAGCATATTACCCAGGTGATATCTCAATGTTATTGGAGCATGTCATTGCTGTTAATTATGCCCCTGGCCTTGTTGGTGGAGGGGTGTACGAAGTGCCACAAAGATGACAAATGCTGAACTCTCTCTTTCTGAGGCTTCAGTGGAGAAAATCTTTACCAGATTCTGAGTGGCACTGATTTTAGCTCAGGTGTGGATCACATTTAGGTCTGTGTAGCCTGGTGCTTCCTCACCTGCTGGGGGTGGCACAGGTAATTATGGAACAGCAAGGGAAGAGCATATGCCCATGTTCTCCTTAACAGTGGGTCGGATGGGCTGTAGGAATGTTGGTGCCATTACAGGAGCAGCTTTAGTGGCTCTTAATATTAAAGTTCATGTGTGTCTTTTCTCAGGCATGGGTCTTATGCACATCACTGGTTCTGTCGCCTCTTCCCACGTGAGTAGTTAAAACTTTCCATTGCAATGAAAGCCATATCTAGAACATGGCGTAGAACACTGGGGAAAACTGACTCCATTGTACTAGGTCTAGGATGTGACATCTTCCCTAATGTAGATTAGTTTGGGAGCAGGGAAACTAATTCTGTGACTTGCTCTATTTGGTGGGTCTCATGCATGAAGCAGCTTTCTTCAGTGGTGGTGGTGTGGCCTGTTAGAATGATGGCTGGGCAGGATGCTGGCCTGGGATCTGTATGTATTGGGCTGACCCCTCTTGCTCACTGCAGCTGTGTTGCAGTTCTGTATATTGGGTTTTCACTAAAGGACCAGACATGCATCTAGTGGGTTTTTTCCCTATGAGGATGGGAATCTGGTTCTGCAAATGAGTTGAACATTCTTCTGTGCCTGGCAGCTAAATCCTCTGTTTAGCTTCAGGATCACTACTGTGGTGGTTAATTGTAGGCTGCAGGCTAAGTTCCTCCTTAGGAAGCTGCTCACCTTTTAAGTCCCACATGGTGGCTCAGGGCTGCAGCTGGGGGAAGAGATCTTTCCAAGTCCTGAAGCTGGTGGAGGGGAGGCTCCCAGCATGGAGTTAATGCAGCTTTGGGAAAGTGGCCCCTCTCTGTCCAGGTCAGCCTGAGCCCCAACCCTTTGCGCCACCTTGAGGCCCCCAGCCCTAAGCACTCCTCTGCAGCCCACCTCTTCCCACACTCAGAACCAACTTGGCCTCACTCCTTTCACATGAGTTTAGTTATGTGCACCAGTAAGGTGATATCAGTCACCTCAACATTGGTGCACAAAAGAACTTGGCTTGGGGTGGGGAAAAATTAGAGGGAATCCTGGCTTATAAAATGGTGGGGGGGTATTTCTCAGTCAAGTTCTTCCTTCCCTGCTGTTCAATGATGAATGCAAACAGACAAGCATATGGCTGAGAGTCTGTGATGCCAGCTTACTCCTGAGAACTTGGAAACCCTTGCAGGAGGTGGGGTGGTCTCCTTGTCTTGGAATAGAGCTAATTTGCTTTTTCTGTCTCAGGTTACCCATGCCCCCAGATGGGAGTCTGGCCTTGTATACAGGTAGGATTGGGGTTATTGGGTCTCTGGGGCTGGAAGGCCTGCCCTGCTAAGGCTCTAAGCCAGTGTTTCTTAAACCTTTTCAGACTGAGGAACACCAAACAATTTTTTGTTGAGCCAAAAAAAAGGTCAGGGGCGAGAGGTTATTGAGCAAGAAAGTTAAAAGGTCACCTGCCCTTTTAAAGGTGGCCATTTTGACACTGCATGCCTCCAACTGCCTCATGGCACACCAGTGTGCCAGGGAACAGTTTAAGAAACACTGCTGTATGCACTGAGCACTCTCCTTGGGGTCAGTCCTTGCACAAGCTTCATCACAGCCCCTTTGCCATGTGATCTTAAAACAGTTCTGAAAAGATTTGAAGAACATTGACCAATAGCATGTTAGAGTTCTGATGGCATCTGGCCATTGGGCTGGAAATGCTGCTCATTCACTGGCATTTGTCTCATGGGGTTCTGTTTTCTGTCTAGGTGAATTCCTCCTGGGGTGAATCCCTGTCTCAGGTAAAGACATCTCTCACACAGTATCTGTAGCATGTAGGGATGAGCCATTACTTTCAAACTGCAAGTGGCAGTTTGAAAAGATGACACCATGTTAGCTGGACGACGCTTGTCTCATGGCATTTGAGTTACCAAAGCCCTGATCAGACTGCTCTGGCCCTGCTCTAATGGACTGGGCTTGTTCCTGTGCTCACTGACCTGATTCTCTTATCTACACAGGTGAGATGCCACCATATGAGAAGGGTGAGTGACCTATCCAGTGCTCATTCCCCCTCTGACCCCTGTCCCGATGAGGAAACTTGTGCCCATCTTACTGTCTGTCCAGGTACCAGAACCTGAAAAGGTGTGAACCCACTGGTACCTGCAGCATGAGAGGAGGAGAACCTGTTCCAAGAGGAATAGTCTGATGGGACACTGGGCTGCATCTGGCTCTGTTGCCTGAGTGTAATGGCTGGTTAATCCACCCCTTTCACCTCATAATGCTACGCTGCTATCTTTGGCAGGCACAGCATGCTGTACAGTAGCAAAGGCGGAGGATGTAGCCAGAGCACACTTACTAATACCATTGTTGTGCATAGGGAGTGAACACTAATCAGATGCTCTGGTTCTTTCAGGTGCCAGGAGTGAGTCTTGGCCAGCTCCTGATCCAGCTGCCCAGGTAATGGCATACATCAGACAAGCTGCTGCTGGGTTGGGCTCAGTCCTAGTTGCCTGTTCCTACTCAATGATGAGCTCTTTTTGGAATCTCGTTCGGCTGAATATTGCTGTTGAGACTTTAACTCTGAAGCTTGGTGAGGAATAGGCTGCAGCCTTGGCCTTAGCTTAGTACAAGGATGCAAACTTGAATTAGAGGATTTAGAGCCAATAACCTCTCTTTTCCCCCTAGGTTAAAGATCCTGGAGTGGATGTCTCCACTGTGCTTGAATCATGGGTAAGTGCTCTTCAGCTTTCTCAGGACTGTCTGCAAATGGCCCTCGCCCTCCAGTTGTCCCTGTGTTGCCTCTCTGGGGCATGTGTGGCTAATGTTGCTGGGATTAAAGCTTCCTCCACAAACAACTGGGACAAGGGTGTCAGGAATAGAACTGCATGGTGTTGAGAGCTGCCATCTCCGTGTGGATTGTTAAACTGTTATGGTGATGCCTACTAGGCAGCATCCCATTGTGGCAGGCCCAAAAGTACTTGTAGTGCAATGGGTGTTCACTGCAGTTTTAATGATGAGCCAAACTAGCTCACTTTGATTTAATATAAACATGAAAATATTTGAACAACTGAGAAACTGCACAGCTAGGTGTGAGTTGGGAGCATCTGTGCTGAGGAGTTGCTGACTGCATTGTCCTGTCCCACAGGTAGCCAGAGTCCTGGGTTCTGAAATGCCTGGAATGGTGAGTGACTGCTAACTCTCCTGGATGTATAGGAGAAGTGGGCTGGGTGGGGGAGAGACCACATCAGCCCTTTGCTGTAAGCTGCATGGCAATCTATATCCCATGACATGGCTCCTCAGTGATGAGACCCATACCGCCCCAGTCTGATACCTGTGACTGAGTGGTCCCTTCTGAGTGTAGGAGCTTGGCAGCATGCTGGGCTTCAAAATATGGAGAGCTGTGCAGGCCACCAACAGCTGTTTCTTCTGTTTCAGGAGCCTTGGCATTTCTGCTAGGGGGATAAGCGATCAGCTGCTGGCGTTGCAGGTAGGCTGAGAAGCAGTGGCAGGGGCATTCATTGCAATGCAGGGAGATGGGAGTGAACAGTGGGCAGGTGCCATGTCCTAATGAGGAAAATAGATCATGACTTACTGTCCATGTTGGTCCAGAGCCTGCTAAGGTTGAACCCACTGGGCCACTGGAGAGAGAGGAGGATACTTGTTCCAAAAGGAACAGTCTGATGGGACTGGAGCAGCATTGGGGTGAGGGTGGGATATTCCATAAAAAGCAGCTCTCCTCCATTTCTCGACCTGTTTTTCCTAGGCCTGCATGGAAGCATGGGTCATCTGAGCACAGCTGGTGAGTAGATTTGTCACTGCACTTGTCAGCATGCAGGAGCTCTCTTCAGGGATGAGCTGATACTTTGCTTGTGCTGATGCATCCATCCCATAGCATGGTGCCTGCCCCTGGATGAGACTTCACGCACAGTGACCCTTTCTTCCCTTCAGGCATGAGATTGGTCACTTGCCACCCCAGTCTGATGTTGATTGGTACTTTCTGAAGCATGACCCTGTGTCTCCTCATCTGGCCTGGACCGAGGGTACTACTCAGACCTCCTTTGCTCCTGAAGGGTGGAGTGTGGACCAGATGCAGTTTTACTGTGATGCCTACCTCTTGAGCACTCTGCTGAGTTTTGACAAACTGCAGCATCTCTGAGGGCAGGGGCAATCAGCCTCATAGAATGTGTATTGACTATTAAATAAAATATCTCTGCAGGGAGCAGTTGGTGTCTGTTTTCTCTTGTTGGGCCTCAGAGCATGAGTTGTGAGGCTTGCTGGAGGGGATGGCTGGTCTCATGCTGGGGGTGGGGTGGGATTTTCCACATGGAGTAGGGTTTTTTGATGCAGGAATGTGAGTAGGGGAGGGAGAGTTGTATAGTTCCATGTTGCCTGTGCTCCACCAAAAGTTGGGGGGGTCTCCCCTGCCTGCCTTATGGAAACTTAAAAGGGCACATGGGGTCACTACCACTAGGCACAGTACAGCTAAAGAAAAGTCCTGGCACCTTAGGTCAATTCCTGTTTCCTTCACCTGCCTAGTTAGGGTACCACTAAAAATTCTACAAATCATTTTCTGGTTCCTGCAGCCAGGAGGGTTGGCAACCTCTTCAAATGAACCAAGCTAAATCAAAATTCAGAACTAGTGACCAACAAGAAGTGGTATAAGTGCCAATTTGCATGAGTGGAAAATATACAGCTTACTATTGACTGGATTAATAGCTAATGAAACCTAGTACTCTGCCTTGGATGTGACTTCTGCATCTTCACATGTTTCTTTCAATTTTGCACTTGACCACTTATTATGTAGGTACATGCACATTCAGGCAAATTTCTGTTACCCTTAGGGTAGGGGCCTGGGGATGTGGCAGGGCACTTGAGTGGAAGTAGAATATGGGGGCGGGGGGGAGAGAGGAGCTGGGACTAGATTACATTGTCAGGGCTGGGCTGTAGTACCTAACCAGCAGTGGCTGAACAAGGGGCCAGGCCAAGATCATTGTAGCCTTCATATGCACATGGGGAGTGGGTAGAGGAAGAGGGTAGTGCCATCAGCCCTTCCTACAGCTAGATGGGGTGTGCACCTATGTGTAAATGTTTGGCTCTGCTTTTTTTCCTGTGCTGGGAAATCACCAGCAGTAGCCTGTTCATGAATATTTTTTCCTTAATGGTTTTCCTTGTATTCAGGTTCTTGCTATTTGAAGCAAAAGAAGCCATCAACCTATTTAATAGCACATAAATTAAAAGATGAGGTATGTTACATGTTCATTAAATTAAAAGCAACTAATGTCTAGGTCTAAATTTAGGCCTAGGCCCTCTACTAAAGAAAAGGCACTTTAGTCTGGCTTGCAACCTCTAGAGCAGGGCTACTCAACTTTGGAAGCCCTGGGTGCCACAATGATACTCCATATGCTGAGGGCCATATGGTGGGGAGGGGAGGGGGGAAAGGGGTTTTGCTGAACAGCATTATTTGTTGAGCTGTGTGTGTGTATGCATGCAAATAGCTTCTTTCACTGGGGCCTAGAAATGCTGACACTGATGAGGTTCAACAAGGACAAGTGTAGAGTCCTGCACTTGGGACAGAAGCATCCCAAGCATAGTTACAGGCTGGGGACCAACTGGTTAAATAGCAGTTCTGCAGAAAAGGACCTGGGGGTTACAGTGGATGAGAAGCTAGATATGAGTCAACAATGTGCCCTTGTAGCTGAGAAGGCTAATGGCATATTAGGTTGCATTAAGAGGAGCATTGCCAGCAGATCCAGAGATGTCATTCCCCTTTATGCGGCTTTGGTGAGGCCGCATCTGGAGTACTGTGTCCAGTTCTAGGCTCCCCACTACAAAAAGGATGCGGAAGCATTGGAGAGGGTCTAGCGGAGGGCAACCAAAATGATTAGGGGGCTGGAGCATATGACTTATGAGGAGAGGCTGAGGGACTTGGGGCTGTTTAGTCTGCAGAAGTGAAGAGTGAGAGGGGATTTGATAGCAGCCTTCAACTTCCTGAAGGGAAGTTCCAAAGGGGATGGAGAGAGGCTGGTCTCAGTAGTGACAGATGGCAGAACAAGGAGCAATAGTCTCAAGTTGTGGTGGGAGAGGTCCAGGTTGGATATTAGGAAAAACTATTTCACTAGGAGGGTGGTGAAGCACTGGAATGAGTCTCCATCCCTAGAGGTGTTGGAGTCTCGGCTTGACAAAGCCCTGGCCGGGTTGATTTAGTTGGAATTGGCCCTGCCTAGAGCAGGGGCCTGGACTTGACCTTCTGAGGTCTCTTCCAGCTCTATGATTCCAGCCAGCCCCTCCCCCTTGGACCAGTGGTCTCCAACCTTTATACATCCAAGATCACTTTTTAAATCTCAGAACAGGTGAAGATCTACTACCCTGCCCCTTCCTTGAAGCCCTGCCCTCTCTATTCTCCTGTCTATCACTTTCTATCCCCAGCCCTTATTTACACACGCTGATAAACAACTTTATTTTTAAATTATGCAATATATAAAATTAAAATAATGTGTTTAGTTATGAAATAAATGGTCTTTTTTATTCATGCTATTTAAATCTAAAATTAAGCATTTATAATTATCCATTTTGTGGGGACAGAGGTCTGTGGCTGGGGGCAGGGGAGAGGGAACAGGGTGCTGGGAGGGCAGAGGACAGGGTTCTGCAGCAGGGGGCAGAGTGCCAGTGATGACAGGTTTCTGTAGCTGGGGACAGGGTGCCAGTGGGGACAGGAATAGGGACAGTTCTGTAGCTGGGGACGGAGTGGGAACAGCGTGATGGGGATGGGGACAGTGTTCTGTAGGTGGGGAGTGGGGTGCTAGTGGAGGCAGAGAACCCCCTGCATCTGCCTCCTAGGATTTTCCCCCTCCCACTCCTCTGGGAAACCAGCCTGCCCCAGGGCTGACTCTTCCCCCCCCCACACATGCGTGCCTGCCCCGGGGCTGACTCACCCCTCAGTGTAGGGGGCCAATGCTCCCTCTCTCAGTACACCCAGCAGAGCAGCTAGCGCACTGCTGGAAGTAGCACTAAGCTGTGGTACTTCTGTCCATCCCCGGGGAGCTGAGACTACCTCCATTTTCACTTGAGGTACATAGTGGGGCTTCTCAGGGGTGGGAGGGAAATGGGTGCAGGACGGACAGGATGCCTTGTGATTGACTGGTTGAGGCCTCGCGATTGACCTGTTGGTGACCACGGTCTTGGACCTTTCAATGCTCGAGATGCCTGGCTGTTGTGGAGTGTGTTCCCAGTGGAGGCCATGTTCAAAGGATCCCACCCACAGAGTGCATGTTGAGCCCTCACGGAAACCCACCACACTGCGGGCTGCAAACAAACAAGCTGTGGGCCATGTGTTGCCACTCCCCCTGCCCCAGGCTAATGGGGGGGGGAGGTGGAAAGAGAGTGTGTAAAATCTCCCACCCACTATTTGATCTGAGAAAGTGGGTCTGGCCCATGAAAACTCATCACCTAATAAACCATCTTGTTAGTCTTTGAAGTGCTACATTGTCCTGTTTTTTGTTTCAGCTAGACCAGACTAACGCGGCTACATTTCTATTACTATTGTAATTCTATAAGGGACAGTATTTGTGGTCACAGAAATTCAGCAATCCTTGGGCACACAGCATTCTAACCTAGGATGATGTGGAGTTGAGATGGACTTTGACTGATGCTGCCATTTCTGCTGGCCTCCTCAGCTGTCCCTCCCCCCTCTCTCTAGTGTTACAGGTCCTCTAGGATTTGCCTACATACAGTCTCCCAGAATCCGCATCAATAACAGGGAAGGAGCATTGCCTGCTGGTCAGAGAGCTAGCCTGAGACTCGGTAGACCTGGGGTTGATTTCCTGTTCCTTCACAGATTCCATGTGTGAGCTTGGGCAAGTCTCTTCCCCCTTGAAGGATAGCCCTTTGGTGTGTCTTGGTTCTCCATTTGTTCAATGGGGATACTGGCATGGTCCTGCCTTTCATGGATGGGCTGTGAAAACAAATATATTGATGAAGTGCCCAGATACTCTGGTCATGGGGGCCAGGGAGAGATCATAGAAACAGGACTGGAAGGGACCTCAAGAGATTATCAAGTCCAGTGCTCTGCACTCACTCCAGCACCAAACACTGCCTAGATCATCCCTGTCAGATGTCTAGCTTGCACTTAAATACCTCCAACTAGAAGTCTGACTGGCACGACTCAGATCCTTAACTCAAATTTTGTTTTTTCTTCATTTAAATCATTGCTCTGGGGTGGGGCTGAGGATGAAGGGTTCAGTATGCAGGCTGCCCCAGGGAGAAAGGATTACCAGAGCGCCCCCTCTCTGTAGCAGTTGGATGCCAGGTGAGAAGTGGTTCTCCATGATCACTGCAGCTCCAGCAGGCACAGAGAGGGAGGGATGCATGTTCTATGGCTGTGGAAGGTCCAGGTTTGTCTGCCTCCAGTGCTCCCCAGACAGACTGAGAAATGGAGGAAACTGTGAACTTTCCCCTCACTCCCTGACGACAAGGAAAAGTCAGCAATGTCCTATGAATCGAGGGAGAGGGGGGAGCTGCAGGCCTCCCCTCATACCATCTCTAAAAGGTGCTTGGAGGGTGGGATGCTCAGAACTGGGGCAATGTCAGAGAGGTGCCCCTTTCATCTGTCAGATGATTGTCTCTTTTCTGTATGGTTTTATGTGATCCCACACTCCACGGCTGCCCCTTTGAAAAGCAGCATTCAAAGGGTCAGCCATGGAGCTTGGGGTCAGCTGGGGAGATGACCCTGGGTTCCCCGCAGCATTTCCCTGAAACCTGGGGTCAGCAGGGGACTCCCCAGCTTACCCTGGGCTCCTAACAGCATGGAACCCAGGGTCAAAACTGTGAGTCCCCTGCTGACCGCAGGCTCTATGGCTTTGAAATGTGCAAGAGTCCCTAGCAATTAGTCATCTGTGGTGCCTTTTTCTGGGTGTTGTCTTAATGCTGCCATACTCATCTTCAAAGAAGGAGTTTCCAAAAGCAGGCACGCGCCGCTGACTCCCAAGGCTCTGGATATGTCCAATCTTCTTTCAATGAGCCCACTTGACAGGTCTTATTGTCCTTGGATCTGGCTTCCATTCCTTCTCCAACTCTTGCTGCTGTTCCGAGGTGCTTGCCTTTCATTTCTCACCCATTCATTCCTCATTCATTCAACAGGGCAAACAAGTAAAAGGGGAGAGATCTATTCTGGTACAAAGACAAGTTTCTATATGGAAAGACTTAATACAAATTTGTATATGGAAAGACTTAATCCAAGGTTATATGAAAAGGATTATTACAAAGTCATATGAAAATGATACCAAGTTATATGAAGATGTTTAATACAGAGATTTATCTAAGCTGTTGAGGATGGAGCTCTTTGATCTGGAGGGGACATTCACAGAAGTCAGATTCAGGCCCAGCTGCACTGACTTTTCTTTCTGTTTTATTCTCATTCTGTCAGTCGTGATGGCCTATTGTTGTCGTTCAGCAACTCCATTGTAAATAAAGGTTTTTATGGGTGAATGTCAAATGCTCATTTAACTGGCATTTAGTAAACCAGGTTTAAATCTCCTGGGCTAACTATTTATCTAAGAATTGATTATAAAAAATGAGGCAACAACAGTTTGCTAGGCTTCCTTCCATATCAGTTTTAGTTATGATATACTATGGTGTCTAGAAACTCCAAGTGAAATCAGAATAGTGATAGAGATGCAGCCGTGTTAGTCTGGTCTAGCTGAAACAAAAGACAGAACTATGTAGTACATGAAAGACTAACAAGATGGTTTATTAGGTGATGAGTTTTTGTGGGCCAGACCTGAGGAAGTGGGTCTGGCCCACGAAAGCTCATCACCTAATAAACCATCTTGTTAGTCTTTCAAGTGCTACATAGTTCTGTCTTGTGTTTCAAGTGAAATCAGGGTCCCCTTGTGTGTGGTGGTGCATAGATCCCAAGATTAGGGCCTCTCTCTGATTAGGCTTTGCAGAGACTGAATCCTCTGGGCAGATGTACAGCAAGAGCCAGTCCCTACCTTGATGAGGTTAGACTATAAACAGCCAACAAAACCAGAGACTTGTAATGGGCTCTTTCTGCTCTCTGTTTTCAAATTCTCAGCTGTGCCCATGACCAGGGTTCCTGATTGGGATGTGTCATTGCAACTTACTGCTCCTTGTCACTAAGCATCTTTCACGACTATTACTTTGAGCTGTGACTGTCATGTGAATGGGAGTTCCCCCAGCCCAACTCTGGCCTCAGCCCCTGGTCTGGTCCCTTATCATGATGATCCTCCTGCTGCTGTGGGGACAGAGATGGGGATCTCTCTCTAGTAGTGTTCCCTGTAAGCTAAGCACTTGGGCAGCTGCCCAGGAGAGATTCAGGTGCAGCCCAGCTGATTAACAGAGCACCCAGGGCTAACAGCATGTGTTTATATGGTGGTGCACCTCCATGCATGCCTTAGTGCACATAAAATTTATTCTGCAAACTGACACGAAAAAGTAGAGGGAATATGGCTCCCCACTGAGGGGAGGGGCGAAGAGCTCACAGCATCTGCTCTGGCAGCAGTCGAAATCTGTGGGGAGAGGGCACAGTGAATAGGCAGAGGGGAACGTTCCAAATGGGACTAGGGAAGGAAAGGGTTCGGTGTGACACGACGAACCGGAAGCGGCTTCGGCCTGACCTGACAGGCTAACCAACATCCGGCTTTTGGCGTGTCTCTGTAAGAGGGCCGGCCTCGCACCACTTCCGATCTTTTCTCGCCCACGCCGGCGCACCAGAACGGGCTGGGGGGTGCGAGCCGGAGCGGATAGAGCGAGGCACCGGGGCAAAATGGCGTCTCCTGCGCGGTGGAATCACGTGTGGGTCGGATCCGAGACCGGGATCCTGAAAGGTATCGGGGGGAGAGGGCGTGATGGGGCGGGAGCTTGTCCCGTCCCCGGCTGTGACCACGTCCCGTCTCTCTCCCAGGCGTCAATCTGCGGCGGAGACAGGCTACTAATTATGTGGCGGCTTCGGCGCTTCGCCGGGAAGAGGGAGTCTGCGCCATGTGCTGGGGGGACCCATCCGAGTCCGAGGTGAGGGGTTTGTGGCGGGGGGGGGAAGAGGAGCAGCAGCAGCCCGGGGCGCCCCTGACACTTCTCCTTCTCATCCTCCTCTAGATTCTCATCGGCTGCCTGGACCGGTCGGTGAAGCTGTTCAGCACCGAGAAGGGGAAGTTCACAGAGTCGCGGCAATGTCTGGGCGGGGAAGGCGCCTTCTGCGGTCTGGCAGTGCACGACAAGTGGGTCTTGCACCATGAACCCAGCAGCTGCCCCCTTATTCCACTGTGTCTGTTTTCAGCTCCTTATCAGAACTGTGGGCCCATTTAACTCCAGATTGTATCCATCCCTTCCTGATATTGGTCCTATCTAAATCCAAATCTCTCACAATCCTCCCCTTCTGGGACTCAGTCTCTATCCCCCAGTCTCTCTTCCCTTTCTGCGGACCCACAGATATAACCTTGAATGTCATGCATCAATCTCTTGGAATAGGTTATTCACCTGCACTCTGCCACCCACAAAATAGATCCTGGAGCCCATTGACCCTCACATCACAATATGCATATACACATCTACCTTTGGGACAGACCGAAACGGACACATGTAGTCTGCTGTCCTGTTTTACAGCAGCTGCTGTTGAAAGGCTCAATTAGAGATTTACTCTGCCCTGCTCCCACACAGGAATACATGCCTGTAAAAGGGAAAAAGCATTTCTTTAATTTTTTTTCACCAGGGAATTCAGTTTCCTTTGTGACACCAATTCACAGTTTGTCGGACCATCTGTCTAGCCCCCTAATTATAGCAATGAGTGTGGCCTGGGCCTATGTTGAAAATTGACAATGTTTTATTTCTTTCTGTCACTACTTGGATTTTCTCCCTCTCCCACCATCATTTGGCTGGTACCTGCAGTTCCTTCATCACCTGTGTGGAGTCTGGTCTCCTCAAGGTCTGGAGAGATGCCTCATCTGAAAATGTAAGACTTTTATGGGGAAAGATGCAGGGCAAGGGATGCTGGGTTGGTGGCAGTGGGTGCTGTGTTAGGGAGGAATCCGAGGTCGGATTAGCACCAACACTTGTTTCCTTGCACAGTAATCCAAGGGAGTCAAGATGTGTGGGGACAGTTCCTGATTGCACTTCCCTCTCGTCATAGGGCAGTGCAGCTCAGTCCTGCCAGGATCGCCACATTTGGAGTAATATAAATCCTTCCTCATTGCTACCCCGTTTAGGTAGAAACACAGGTTGGAGCTGGGGTGTGCCGTATGCGCCAAAACCCGGTTCACCCGCAGCGTGTGGGGACAGGTGGGAAGGAAAATGCCCTGAAGGTCTGGGACCTGCAGCGGCCGGAGGAACCCATCTTCCGTGCTAAAAATGTAAGTGTCTGCCTCAGATGTACACCCTACTTCCTTGTGCTCTAGCCATGCTTCCTCTGGCCTAGAGAGCCCCAACCATACCCAGGCTTGGCTGTTCCTGGGGAGACAGGTCTATATCCTGTTTCTTGAGGGAGAATCTGTTCTCACCCCTCCCCCATTGTTCCCCAGTCCTGAATCTGTGCCCTACAGTACACTTTATCTCTCCATCCTTCCCAAATCTGGTAAGATTTGCATTTCATCTCCCGCCCTTGCTCATAGCCCAGCGCCTTCTTGGGACATTTGAGAGCAAGTCAAATATAGGCATTGTGGTTCCACTTACACCCAACTTGCCCTCTTTGCAGGTGCGGAATGACTGGCTCAGTCTCCGGGTTCCTGTCTGGGAGCGTGACCTGCAGTTTCTACCTGGCTCTGAGAAGATTGTCACCTGCACTGGGCATCACCAGGTAGGAGCCTGATGGTTGTATTGGGGTGCAATGGAGGGAGTGGGGTGTGCAGAAGGGAGGATTAGAGTCTGGAGGAGTCTATCGGTAGGGGAATTTGGGTCTGTGGAGGAACTTGGGAGGTGATGAGTTTGTGAACTGGGTTGGGGTGGGAAAGGGATCAGGGTCTGGGGAGCAGGCAGTGGGAGAGGTGAGCAGACTGGTGTATGAGAGGGACTGGAAAGCGGGGGACCTGAAATGATGGGGAAATGAAGGTGCAGGATGATGGTTGGGAAAAGAAATAGGTATGGGGTTGTGGAGCAGGGGGATGGAAGGATGTGGGATTGGGGTCTGGAGGAGTTAGGGGGGCTGGGCAGATGGGGCGGGATGATTGGGGGAATGGAAGGAAGAGAATTGGAGCAATCAGAATTGGGGTGTGGATGGGGGGTCATGGCATGAGGTGCAGAAGGTGGGGGAGCAGGGAGGGGAGGCAGATTAGTTCGAGGGGCAGAAATTGGAGGGGCGGGGGTACTGGAAGGAGGGATATTCAGGTGATGGGAAGGTTTGTAACCTGATAGCTACTAACCTCTGGTGCCCCCGGCTCACCTGATTGGGCAGGGGTGGGCAATAATTTTTGCCCCAAGGGCCACTTCAAAAAATTTTGAAATAGCCCCGGGCCACCCTGGAAGGGGTGGGGCCTAAATGAGAAGGGATGGGACTACCTCACTTCCAGACCATGATTGGTCTGGGGGTGGGGGAGCCCCTTTGCCTCCCCTTCCCACTAGGCACCCATGCCCTGGAAGAGGCTTGGCACACTCCCCCACCCCCAGGCCAATCAAGGTCTGGGGGCAGAGGATGGCAGGAAGCCTCCTCCTGCCCTGCAAGGTGCCATGAGCTCCCCCACCCCCAGGCTCTGATTGGCCTGGGGGCAGGGGCCACCTCCAGGCCAATCAGGGCCTGGAGGCAGAGGAGTGCCCAAAGCCTCCTCCCACCCTGCCAGAAGCACATGGTGCTTTGAAGCATGGCATGCTGCTCAGGGTGAGGGGGAGAGCGGAGGAGGCTTCACGTGCTCCCCCCTCACCGTGAGCAGCATGCCATGCTTCAAAGCACCATGTGCTTCTGGCAGGGTGGGAGGAGGCTTTGTGCACTCCCCCGCCCCCAGGCCAATTAAGGCCTTCTCTGCTCTGCCCCTGCCCTGTGAGCAAGGTGTGGTGCTTTGAACTGCCGTACACTGCTCACAGGTTAGGGACAGAGCGGAGAAGGCTTCGTGCACTCCCCTGCTCCCAGGCTCTAATTGGCCTGGGGTGGGAGAGCAGCAAGGTCTCTGCAGGCCGGATCCACTCGCTAGGTGGGCCGGATCCAGCCCACAGAGGCCCTTTTGCCCAATCCTGTGCTTGGGGCAGATGGTTTCTCTTCGGTGGGGGGGGCGTGCAAGGCCCCAATGACCACATTTGTCTGTCTCTCCAAGGTGCGGCTGTACGACCCCAGCTCCCCACAGCGGCGACCTGTTCTGGAGACAACCTATGGGGAGTACCCCCTCACAGCCCTCTCCCTCACACCTGGGGCTGAGTGAGTCACACTCTGCTGGCTGGGAGGGCACTGACCGGGAGAAGGGGGGGATGGCAGCAGCTCTTTGGCATGGTGTGCAGCACTGACCGTGAATGCCAAGGGCAAGCAATAGAGCATAAAGCTCAGCACCAGATCTCAATTTGGTTCTGTTTGGGAGGCAGCACTGACTTCTGGCAGGTCTGGGAGTTCAGGCTCCTGGGTTGTGTTCCCAGATCTGAGTGGTGGCAGGATGGAGTTCAGAAATCTGGCTGGATAATGGGTGTCCTTGTGACCATAGGGTGGGAAGTGTCCTGACACCTGTCTCTTTGCAGCTCCGTGGTGGTAGGTAGCTCACGTGGAGAAATGGCTGTCATTGACCTGCGGCAAGGTGAGCAGGGGCTTTCCTGTTGCTATCCACGTGGTATGGGGTGGGGGGTAATGTTGGGAGGGAGTATGGGTCTCTGTAGGAGAGAGAGAAGCTTGTTTCCCTTGGGCCAGGAGAGGGGGGGATTCATGGGGATAGGGTGGGGGGTGATAGGAGGGGGAGGCTGGACTAAGTCAGGGAGGGCCAGACTCCGTGATGGTCCTGTCTCCCTCTGTGGCAGGAAGGCTGGTGAAATGCCTGAAAGGCTTTGCTGGGAGCGTGCGCAGCGTCCAGTGTCACTCGACCCTCCCACTTGTGGCTTCCTGCGGCCTTGACCGTTTCCTGCGGGTGCATAATATCGAGGACAAACACCTTAAACACAAGGTGAGAGCTGTGCCCTCCCCCATCCCATGCACCACCCCTCTGCTGGAAGTGCCTCTGCTGCCATTGCTCCTGCCCCACTGCTTACAGTGCCCACTGCGTGATTCCCTCTCCTGTCATGTTTCTGGGCCTGATCTTTGATGGGGGTTCTCTGTTGTTTTCAGGTATATCTGAAATCCCGGCTAAACTGCCTCCTGCTGACCAGCCGTGAGAGGTGGGAGGTGAGTGGGGTGGAAATAGAGGGGGCTATCTCTTGGGTGGGAGCTCCATTTGTGGGGTCACTATTCCTTGGCTGACTCTCCTGGCTGTGTTGTTACTGAGTTGAGGACTGTTCTCAGTTACTATGTAGGTGGAGGAGAAGAGAGAGCCCAGGGAGTTGCCTCTTGCTTTCCTAAACCTGCTTAAGGCAGTGGGCAGGGACCCTTTCCTTGTCCTTCTATAGGGCCCTTCTGCTTCGGCAGGAGGTGCTGCTTAATTTGACTGTGCCTCCCACCACCAGGATGAGGAGCCTGAACCTGCAGCTGCTGAAGCAAATGTGAAGGAAGAAGATGAGCTGTGGGATTGCATGAAGGCGGTGGCTACTAAAACAGTGCCCAAGCGCAGTGCAGATCCTAGAGGCCAGGAGACCCAGCAGGGCAAGCGGTCCAAGAAGCAGAAGAGACATAGTGTTGGGCCTTGAGAGGACAAGTGGGGAGCCTGTGCCCCAGCTGGAAAGGACCATGAATTTGTTTCTTACTCAGGATCAGGGTGTAGGGGAGGGGGAATACCCTCATGTCTCTCCTGGCCAGAGGCACCAGCTTCTCCCCTGCTGCTAAAAGAATGTGGGGTGCCAGAGGGGTGGATATGTTGGCTGGGTCCTAACCTCCCAGAGGATGCTGCTGTGACTGGACCTAAAATACATGTGCAGTGGGATTGGGCTGGGTGCAGCCAGAGCCCTGTCTATAAAGGCCCGTTCTAGGGGCCATCCTGTAGGGAGAGGGGAATTTAAACCTATCTCCAGCTGTAAGGGTAGTGCCCAGCTGTGTGAAAAGAACCAGTGCCAAGTGCCTTATTCTGGAGCCTGGGCTGGGTGGGGGTGGGGGGTGGCGTGGCATACCTCTGCTCTGCTCTTTCCTGCCTGTGCCACAGGCTGCCCCCCCATGGTGGGGGCTGGGGGAAGGGCCCCCTCTACATGACCCACCCCATCAGTGCGCCCTGCACGTGCACCTGTCCTGGCCTTAGCCAGCGGCTCCCCCTCCCATCTGCCGCGGCAGGAGCCTCCCTGCGGCCCCTCCTTGAGGCACCTCTGCCCCCAGTGGCCTGTCTCCTGCGCTGGGGAGCTGCAGAGCCTGGGCCGGGCGGGTAGGAAGCGGCGAGACGCCGCTGGAATCTACCGGGAAGGAGCCGTAGGCGGGGCCGCGGGCGGGCGGACCCCGGGCTGGCGGGGCGCTGCGGATGCCCGGGAATCGGACTCATGCGCCGGACCAAGCCCTCGTCTGGACATCGCGATGGGGAGGTGCCGCCGGGCAATGACCTCACAAAGCCCCCGGGGCCCGCGCAGCGTCTGGGCCGCGCGCTCCCGGCGGCTGCAGCGCACCCATGGGTTGCGTGCAGTCCGGCCGCGGGGCCCCCGCGGCGGAGTCGGACGAAGCAGAGGGGCCCAGCGGCACTGCAGGTGGGGGCATCCCGGGGGAGAAATCTCTGAGGGGCAGGAACTGTTGTCGCGGCTGGCTGTGACGGAGAAAAGGAGGGATCAAGTGGGGCGGGGCGGGCGCTACGCTTGTGTGGGGGGGAATGGCCAGAGGTTGGTATATCGCGGTGGCCTGTCCGCAGAGGGGTCTGCACATGGGGATGAATCCGTCATCCTGGTCCCTTTTAGAAATCTCTGCCTGGGGGATCTCCCTTGCTCCCTCCGCGTCTCCCCAGTACATGTTCTATTCTGTGTCTTCGGGTTTATTCCCCGGGGGGACTCCGAGCCAGTGAAGGGAAATTCCCATCCCTACCTGGCCCAGAGCAGAATGGAAGACAGAAACCCTGAGGACCCCGCTGTGCATGGACTGTGACACCCACTGTTCTCCCAGAGCCAAGAATAGAACCATGCTCTGGATTCCCGACCCTCCACTAGACAACACTACTTTTGCCTAACCATAGAGCTTGTAAAGGTGTAGTATAAATACAAAACTAGAATATTACACATAGCTTAAGTTTGTCTGAAGAAAGATAATGTTGCAAAGAAAGGCCTCGAAGGTAATGAGTTACAGGGCCAGAAGAGATGAAAGAGGAGGATGTCTAGTTCAAACAATAACTAATGAAATATGGGAACATTTCTGAAGAGAAGGCCTATGAGGGACAGGGGTGCCTGCAAATGGTTTTAAATAAGACAGAGAATATGTTTTACAATGAGCCAACATGACCTGCCCCACCCTACAAACCAGTGTTATTGCAAAATTCAGGGTTTATGTGAAACCAGGTTTAGCCCATTTGTAATAACCCTTGATCAAATACTTATAAATATCATGTTACTGTCTGGATGTGGTAAATACTTATTTAGGCTTTGTAAACATATTTTTAGAGCAATTGTATAAATACCACTTGGCCTTTGGATTTAATAAAGGAATTTATAGTTAAATCACGTTCATGATATACATGATATACATGAATCAAATACATGAATAATAAATAATGCCAATATTTTTGGACTTATGGCAGGACAAATGACAATTTCAGTTCTTTTAAACCGTACAGTGAAGGGGTTGTAACCTATCCTCTGAGGTCATCATCAGAGTGCTCGTACCAGGTCAGACCAATTGTCTATCTTGCCCAGTATCCTGTCTTCTTATCGTGGACAATACCAGATGCTGCAGAAGGAACAAATAGAAGAACAGGGCAATTATGAAGTGGCCCACCTCCTGTTGCCTACTCCCAACTTCTCACAGTTAGGATATGTCTGAACAACTGATGTTATTCTGAAATAACATATTCCGTTTCTACACTACAGGCAGTTATTTTGACATAATGTCGAAATAATGTCAAGCAGGAGGACTTCTTATTCTGACTCCTGTAACACTCATTTTACAAGGAGTAAGAAGTCAGAGGAAGAATCCTCTACCTCGGACTTCCTGCTGTGTAGACAGCGCCAAAACCTGAAATAAAGCTACACAATTGATATAGCTGAAGTTGCGTAGCTTATTTCGGCTGTAGCCCAGCTGGATAGACAGGCCCTTAGAATGTGAGGATATCCAGAGCATGGGGTTGCATTGCTGACCATCTTGGGTAATAGCCATTGTTGCATCTGCCCTACGTTAATTATCTAATTAGTTTTTTAACCCAGTTATAGTTCTGGCCTTCACAACATCCCCTGGCAATGAGTTCGGCAGGTTTTCTGTGTGTTGTGTGAAATATTTCCTTTTGTTTGTTTTAAACCTGCGGATTATTACTTTCATTAGATGACTTTGGGTTCCTGTGTTATGTGAGGGGATAAATAACATTTCCTTATGGACTGTCACCAGCATATTTATGATTTTATAGACCTCTGTCACAGATGAAAGCAATCTAAATTTCTTACAGATACTGTACTATCACAACCTGCCCCCCTTGGGCGGGGTTGCAATACAACAGTACTGGTAAGAAATTTTGAGAAATTTAAGTGTGGGGTGGAATGCGGGGGATCAGAGCAGAGGGTTGGGATGTATGTGGGGGTGCAAAAGTCAGGGCAGGGAACTGGAGAAGTCAGAGTTAGTGTGTATGAGGGGCTCAGGGAAGGGGGTTGGAGTGTGGAGTGGATGCAGGAGGGTAGGGGGTTAGAGTGTGAGAGGGAGTTTGGGGGGGCAGGCAGTCTACCTGGCCTAGACTGAGTCAGTGCACCCAATTCTACCTCCCATCCTACCCCCGCTGCACAGCAGTCGGGCTGGGGCCACTGCAAGTCCCTCCCTCAGCAACTGGGGACCAGACTGCAGGGCCAGGGCTAGGTTGCTGCAGGCGTGGCCAGAGGGCCTACCTCAGGGCCCGGCAGGAGGAAGGCCAGAAGTGGGGCTGTAGCTGTATGGAGGCCAGACTGTTGGGCCTGCCCCAAGACTGGGGCTGGGGCCAGGCTAGGGTTGCCAGATGTCCAGTATTGGCCTGGACAGTCCAGTATTTGTGGCCTCTGTCCAATAAAAAAAACAAAAAAAACAAACAAACAAAAAACCACACACACCCCACAGAAAATATCGGACATATAAAAGGTCCACTATTTTGGGTTTTTTCTGGACGGAAGACTGGCAGGGGGATTCTATAGCTACAGGTTTTTTTATGCGTTTTTTTTGTTCAACCAATTTTTTTCCTGCCATGTTTGGGGGTGTTTTTTTTTTTTTTTTTTTTTGGTGAAAGTATCTGGCAATCCTAGGCCAGGCTGCCGCAGCAATGGACGCAACTATGGCCAAACAGGGTCTGATTCCACATACAACACACCCTGCAGGAGCGACACCAGGGCTGGGCTGCCAGCCCCTCCTGTGTCAATTTGGAACCAAGGCTGGGGCTGTGCTGCTACAGCTGCAGCCCAACAAGATGGGCCAGTTCTGTGCCCCTCTCCATCCCTGGCACTGTGGCCAGACAGGAGCTGTTACTAGCTCTTCCCAACAGCTCAGCTGGGAGATTGCGCTCCTTTCCTACAGCTCCCAGCTCCCCTTTAAATTGCTTGCCTGCCTCCTGCAAAGCACCATGCCCCAGCCAGCTCTTGCCAGAGTGCAGCCTGTTCTTACCAGAGCTGCACACTGGGGCATACTCACTTACTTTCACCTCTGCTCTGTCGTATCCCCATTTAGTTTTCTTTTCCAGACTGAACAGGCCCAGTCTTTTTAATCTTTCCTTATATGGAAGCTGTTCCATATCCCTAATCATTTTGACCTTCTTTGTACCTTTCTGATTCTAATATATCTTTTTTGATATGGGGTGACCAGAACTTCACACAGTAATTAAGATGTTGGCACACTGTGGATTTATGTAATGGCATTACATTTTCTGTCTTATCTATTCCTTTCCCAATGGTTCCTGTTAATTTTTTTAACTGCTGTTGTATATTGTGTGGATGTTTTCAGAGAACTCTCCACAATGACTCCAAGATCTCTTTCTTGAGTGTAACAGTTAATTGAGACCATATCATTTTGTATGTATATTGGGAATTATGTTTTATTTTGCATTTGTATTATTTTGCATTATGTAACATTGAATTTCATCTGCCATTTTGTTGCCCAGTATCCAATTTTGTAAAATCCCTTTGTAACGTTTTACAGTCTACTTTGGACTTACTGTGTGTACTTGAACATAAGTCCATTTGTTTATAAGCTGATCCCCAAATGTACAGAGAAAAAATGGTGGAAAAAAAAAAGGAAACGTCACTGACCCGTACATAAGCCGACTCCAGAGTACAGACTTCCAGTCCCAGCTCGTGGTCAATGCAGGCTGAGGGACATTCTGGCTGCAGGAACAAAGCCTCTCCCATTGATTGCTGTTCACTGTTCCCAGCCAATGGGAGTTGAGAGGTTCTGTGCCTGCAGCCTGCACATCCCGCAGCCTGAGCTGCTTCCTGCAGCTCCCATTGGCTAATGGGCACCTGCCCACTGGTCTTGTACCTTGTCTGCATGTAGCTCAGCCATACAGTCTGCCCTGCCCAGCTGCCACTACATTCCTAGTGGTGGCTGCAAGAATGGAGCCTCTCAGCTCTCCATGGCTGGGAGCTGAGAGACTCTGTGCCTGAGCCAGGACCTCCCTCAGCACATTCTGGCTGCTTCTTGAGCCACTGGGAGCTGAGAGGCTCCGTGCTGGCAGCCAGCATGTCCTTCATCCTGTGTTGTTTCCTACGGCCCCTGCTCATTACAGTGGGATTTTTTTCCATAAAAAGTCAGCTTATGAACAAGTACATACTGGAACTGTTTTGAATAATTGTGTATCATCTACAAATTTTGCCACCTCACTGTTTACCTGTTTTTCATATTATTTGTGAATATGTTTAATAGGACTGGTCCCATATTCTTGGGGGACCCCACCAGTGTTCTCTCTAAGCTTTTCCATCCATGTGTGCCCAGTTTACAAGGAACATTGGACCCTACTATTTATCTCACTCCATTCTGAAAACTGTCTGTTTCTTACTACTCTTTGTTTCCTGTCTTTTAACCAGTTATTGGTCCATGAGAGGACCCTCACTTTTATCCCATGACCACTTAATTTCCTTAAGAGTCTTTGGGGAAGAACTTTGTCAAAGGCTTCCTGAAAGTCAAAGTAAACTAGATCTCCCCTTGTCCAAGTGTTTGTCAACCTCCTCAAAGAATTCAAATAGATTGGCAACATATGATGTCCCTTTATAAATGCTGTATCAAGTGTTCCCCCCAAATCATGTTCCTCCATGTGTCTGTTATTTAAGTAATAGGGTACATACCACAGTTAGTTCTGCAATTTAATTTTTGAGAGATGTGTAGGTAGAGGTAAGGTTTTTTGTGTGTGTGTGTCCATTGCCAGGGAATGCTATGAGGGCCAAAAGTAAAACAGATTAAAAAAGAATTAGATATGGTTATGGAGAATTGGTACAACAATGACTATTAGCTAAAATGGTCAGAGATGCAACCCCGTACTCTGGGTGTCCCAAAAAACCTGATTGCCAGAAGCTGGGAATAGATGACAGGAAGGTGGATCACCCAGTAAATTGCCATTTTCTGTTCCTTCCCTCAGAAACATTGGCACGGGCCACAGTTGAAAGACAGGGCATTATATGAGGTGGATCAATGGTCTGAACCAGGATGGCTATTCTTATGTTCTTACAAATGCCACAAATAAACTCCTGGCTGAGGACAACAGAGATCTTGAATGCCTGTAAATAGATAAATTATTCACAGGATGTGGTAGAGGTCCATTGAATGCCACTTCAGTTTTAAAGAGTAAGACCCAAGGAAAAGCATGGAGACAATAGTAGCTGCAGAGCTAAAGAATGGGTGCAAAAAAGCACAAAGATAGCTAGCAGCTGAGAAATCATCTAATAAATGTGTCACTTTGGAAGATAGATGATTTATAAGGTGAGAGTGAGGAGTTAAAAAGAGCTTACAGAAATTAACACTGCCTAGGTGGTGATGACTACCACTGCTATACATTTTTCTCCAGCATGGCCATCCTTATGATTTCTGGTGCCCAATGCAACCTGAGCACCTGCACCCCATCCTCCAGCTGGGTTAGGGCTGTTTCACTGGGGGCCGCACTCACGTCTGTAGGTGCCGGAGCTGAGGGGGCAGGCTGAAGGGCTGTGGGGAACAGGAGCTGGCAGGGAGGTCCAGGCAGTGAGCAGCACTGGTGGGTGGAGTGTGGGTGGGAGGTGGAGCATGGGGCAGGCACCCAAGACAGGCAGAAGGTAGCCTGCAGGGGATAAGGGGATGGGGCCTTCTGAATCATGCAGCTGCATATGCTGCACATGCCAAAGGACAATCTTGGTCCCCAGAAGCCTTTCCACCCATTCTGAAG